ACTCATTTCTGACTGAAATTTCGCTATTAATTAGTATTTATTATTTAGTTTAATGATTGCTTGCGGTGCTTGCTGCTGGGTGGGGTGCGGTGCTCCAGCACCTTTCAGAAATGGCATAAGAAGTGGAGTGTTTGGTGTGCTCTCGGCGTGCCGTGTCGTCTGTAAGCTGTGGCTGTAGCTCCTCCAGTGACCCCTGCTTGAGCAATGACTTGGCCAGGTAGCCTTAAGGATGCGGTGTGCTGACAACGAAAGTTCAGCTCTGGGTGATGATATAATGCAATTTGAATCTTGTGTAACAGCAGCTATTTTCCCATTATGTCTTTCAACACAGCGCTCATTTTGGGAGTTGGACTTGATCCTTGTGGGTCCCTTCCAGCTCAGGATATTCGGTGATTCATTAAAACGCTAGCAGAGCTGAGGCTGAGTGCCCCGTGTTGCCATGCAGTCAATGGTGTTGGGGTATTTTGTAAAACTGCTTGGGAAAAGGCAGCTTAGCTGGAGCTCAGATAAGATTTCGCTGTTGCCCTCAAGTCATTGATATTAGTTATTGGCAATACTCTACAAATAATTTTGCCACCGTACTAATAATACAGGAGAGATAAATTTGTCAGGCTAATTTTAAGATGAGTGTGTGGCTGATAACGCAATTTTTTTTGCAGTGCTTGTTGAGAGAGACTATTGCTTTTGACTGAAAGTATTCCACGTCCTCACGGTCGAGAGGGATGCAGTCTACATTTGGCCTGGTGGCTGGCTGGCTTTGCAAACCCAGGAGTGTGTCTTTGCTCCCTCTTTTTCCATTCATAAAAGTAAAGAGATGAGTTTTGTCATGAGATCTTAACTCATCCTTGATGTTTGAGAAAAGCTAGAAACACAAGGCAAAGGTTTGTACAGAATGCTGAGCTGTACCATAGTTTATTTTTTACAGTTGCTTGTTGCTATTGCTGGACTGAGGGACTGTTCTGTAGGTGAACATAGACTGGAAGAGTCTGGATATCAGAAGAGTCTCTTGTTATCCAGTTCTGTTTGTTGTAATGTGGTGGGCTTTAAATAATCATATTAATGAATTTGTTACACTTTCTTCAAAGCTGCTACAGCTTTGCTTCCTCTGGAAAGGCTCCTTTGAAGCAGTAGTCCTTAAGTAGCTAGAAAACACACGAAGAATGCTCAGGCTTCGATAGTGCTGCTCCTGTATCCTTATAGCTTGTAATTAAACGGATAGGTGACTGGGAGTTGGCTAGTTACACAAGGCAGAGCACAAGTGTGTTCATCTGCTTTTCTTGCTTGGAGGTGTTTTGTTTACTGATGTAATCCCCTGGGAAACGCAGTTGAGATTCCTTTCCCAAATGGGATGGTGGTTGTGGATTTGTCATGTCTTTAACAGGTGTCATAGGGTAGACCAAGATTATCATGGTAAAGCAAGTCATGTTTTTAAGTGACTTTTAGGGCAAGGAGGAAATGGAGCTCAATTAAAATAATTTCAAAGGGATTGACTTCCCCACTAGAAGTGCTGGTGGATTTGGTGTTGGAGTTGCAAGACCTGGTTCATTTCAGAAAGCTTGATGATACCAATGAAGATTTAGGAACAAAGGAGGATAAAATTACACTGTGCTTAACATCAGTTGCCTTTACTGCTCTGGTCAAAGTGTTGCCTTGGACCAAAATTTCTGTCATAAGGGAAGAAAGAGCTGATCTTGTAATTCCAGTTAGGCAGCAAAATTAATGTTTAAGTGTTAAAGCAAGTAACCATCTGTCTGAACTGAGGTCAAAGACTCCACTGAGAATTTGGAAAGCAGGATAACATGGACTGTGGATTGCAATTTTGGACACCAGAAGTATCTTCTCTGTTTGTTAATGCCACAGTTTTTCTTCCCTTGTTCACTATAGGGCACTCATATTTCCTCTTCTCATCCGACAAGGAAAACCAACACCATTTTTCACTTTTGTGCTAGCGCTTCTGTTCTGTATTTATAATGGATACTTGCAAGGCCGAAGCTTAAGCAACTATGCAGAATTTCCTTCAGGCTGGTTAAAAGATCCACGTTTCATAACAGGTGAGTTAAAACATGCTATGAGAACATCAGGTGTAGTTTTTCTTTGTCTTCACAGCTTTTTATTTTTATTATAATTTTATAGTGCCTTCAGTCCTATTTTATACCTCTTCTCATAATTATCTTTTTTACCGTAGCTGTAAGCCTTTAACCTTTTATTTTACAACTGAACTGACACTTTTTCCCACAATGTCAGTGCTAGATGATATGTCATCTTTGTTCTTTAATACCAAAGTAAATACGGGTCATGTATTTTTTTAATATAGGAACTTGAGTTCTTAAATGGAACCACCAGCACACAGGTTTAGAACAAACAAAGCAGATTTTCCACATAACGTTGTTGTGGATGGAGCGATGCACTTCACTTGTAAGAAAGAAGCAGCAATCTGTTTATTGATATAAAATAGTGATCTAACAGAGTTTGATAGTAAATGTGACAGTGGTTTAACAAAATTTTTGTCAAGGTACACTTGATTATTTACTGCATAGAGCACATGGTAAGTCACACGTGTTGGGGAGACCATTCCGTTGAGTCACGATGTTCAGGGAGGACCCCCTTGCTCTCTAAACTACTCATTAGGGTGTGGGTGCAGTCGAACCCAATTGAAATCCCAGACTTGGGCAATAGTTTATGTCTAAAGGATTATATACGTTCAGTCAGTCTAAGATATAATCTTAGCGAAGCTTATAAAATTTAGCAAGCTATTAGTCACTCACTGACGATGTGTTGTGGCAATGTATCTCTCAGTATTGAGGAGTAAAGGATCTCTGTGGCAGGCATAACCTTGAGAGGCATCCCTACTCAAGGGGAGATCCTGGTGTGCAACCTGTTGCAGTGCAGAAGAGCTTAATGGGCTCTTGGGCTACTCAGTATTTATGGGGTAAGATGATTGACTCCATAGTCATATTTACATACTGACTACAGATGTTAGTTTCTTCCAAATTTGGCTTGAGCTGGACATTGACCAGCACTGTGGTTAGGCGGGCGCATTGCTCAAACTAGCCCTTGGCTATTGTATTGTTATCTTTCTCCCCCAAATCCAGTCTGAGCCAGATGCAGCCATCACAACCAGATGCATCCATTATGACCACCACTGGTGATTTTTGCTTGAGTAGGGCTATGGGAGATAAAGGTTAGGTTGGGAGCAGGGGGGAAGCACACCATCACAAATGTGTAAATTAAACTGAAATCACTTCTTTCTTGATGTCATAGGTACTAAAGGTTTGTATGTAGTCAAACAGAAGTGAAAAAATTCATGGAGCAAAAATCCAGTAAGGGTAGCTACTAAATACTAAGATACTCCTTCTAATGCCAAAAGTCCTTGGTGTTGAGATATTTACACATGTATGGGTGCACCTGCATGTACCAACCCACCTGCCCTTGTAATAGGAGTGGCCTTTGTCAAAGAACAAAACTGTTCCCCAAGGAAGGAGGGAGGGGAATTGCTCATTCACTCCTATCAGGAGGTGAGGTTACATTTATACTTTAAGCCATGCATATGATTGAACAGCTAGGTTGTTTAGTGACAAAGTATTCTCTTTGCCGTATTTTTTGTTTCCTAGGTGTCTTCTTTTTGCCGACTGTCAAAAACATAGTATCATTTTCTAAGAAAATATTTACAGAAAGATCTTTTTGATCTGAAGATAAACCAGAATATTTTGCCTGTTAGTCAAAAGCAGAATACTGGGCTGTGTGTATCCTTGATCTGACCCGGTACTGTTCTTATTGTTATTCTGGAGCCAGATCACATTAGTGTTTCTCTTGGATTTCTCAAGCCTTGTACAGCAAGAACAATAAGATTTTTATATTTATTGCAGTGTTATTGTGGATGACAAGAGAGGACCACTTTGATAAATGCTGTCATGACTGTAAGATTGAAGAAATTTAAATTGAAATATGTTCTCTTATGTCATGGTTTAACCCCGTCCGGCAATAAGCACCACACAGTCACTTGCTCATTGCCCTTCACCCCCCGCCCCCCCAAGTGGGATGGGGGAGAGAATCAGGAGAGTAAGAAAACTCAAGGGTTGAGATAAAGACAATTTAATAGGTAAAGCAAAAGCTGCACACAAGCAAAGCAAAACAAGGAATTCATTCACTACTGCACATCAGCAGGCAGGTATTCAGCCATCTCCAAGAAAGCAGGGCTCCATTAGGCATAACAGTTACTTGGGAAGACAACACTATCACTCCAAATGTTCCCCCTCCCCGTTCATCTTTCTTCCCCCAGCTCTGTATGCTGAGCATGACACCATATGGTATGGAATATCCCTTTGGTCAGTGGTCAGCTGTCCCAGCTGTGTCCCCTCCAATTTCTTGTGCCCCCCCAGCCTACTCACTGCTGGGATGATGTGAGAAGCAGAAAAGGCCCGGGCTCTGTGTGAGCACTGCTCAGCAGTAGCTAAAACATCCTTGTGCTATTGACACTGTTTCCTGCACGAATCCAAAACATAGCCCCATACTAGCTACTATGAAGAAAATTAACTCTACCCCATCCAAACCCACACAATTCAAAACAATATGAATCTACCCTCAAAACCTGAATTGTATCTGCTCCTAGTATTAAGGAATGTTGCCTTCAAAGGAAGATAACATAGGTAACATGTAGCCAAAGACTCAAAATGGAAGGGGGAAAGTACTTAATTTGACTCCTAAATTCCTTTTGATTTATCCCATGGAATTATGGCAACAAGACATAAGGATGCAGAATGTGTGATAATCTCAGTTTCTATGAAAGCCTGGTATAAATGGTTAAACCATTTTGCTAAATGACACAAGTAAGTGGTGCATGAGTTCCTTCATAATTTTATTATTCCTTTTATTGCACAGAAGTCTGCTGTGGAAGCTTTGGTATATTGCCTGTAAAAAAAAAATAAATAAATAAAAAGAGGGGGGCTCAGATGTGTCCCTCTGTCAGGAATGAGAATGGCTGTTTCTTAAAATTTTAGTGTATTTGGTTTTGTGTGTGGAAGTTAGGGAAATACATGCATTACATCTGTATATATGCACGTGCATACATTTATATATCTAGCAACACAAGAATAGACTTTAAACTTATAATACTATTCTAATCTAGAGACCTGCTGATTACTGTGAGCTCTACTGACTGAAGAGCTCAGTGTGGGACTGGGAGTGTGCAGGATGTCACCGGAATTGCTCCTATGGCTTCCATTACTAGTGCTTTGACATAATATGCCTAACATGTGATATATGACTGTAGTGTGTTTTGTGAACAAGCTCTTTGGCCCTGTGTATGAAAGACAGTATTTTAAATATTTCTCTTTAGGTTTGATAGGGTGGTTGATCGGCATGGCAATCAATATTCATTCTGATCATATTCTCAGAAACCTGAGGAAACCTGGGGAAACTGGTTACAAGATACCAAGAGGTGAGTAAAAATGTTATAGAAATTTATATAACAAAAGCAGCATATCTCATATGAGGAGAGGCAGAGAGATCTGGGACTCTTAAGCCTGGAGAGGAGAAGGGTCAGAGGCTCTTATTGATGAGTATAAATACATGATGGGAGGGAAGGAAGAAGAGGGAGCCAGGCTCTTCTCAGTGGTGTCCAGTGACAGGACCAGAGGCACTGGGCACAAAATTCAAACTAATGTTATTACATCTGAACAGATTTTTTTTGCTGTGAGAGTGGTCAGACATTGGAACAGGTTGCTCAGAGAGGTGGTGGAGTTTCCATCTGTAGAGACTCAAAACAAGACTGGACATGGTCCTGGTGAACCTGCTGTAGCTGACCCTGCTTGAGCCAGGGGAAGTTGGACTAGATTATCTCAGGAGGTTCCTTCCAACCTAACATGATTCTGTGTAAAGATGACTTTCTAAAGCTTGGTGTATTTCAGGGGAAGATAGTAATTTATGATATGAGGAAACTGGAAATAGCAGTTTGTCTACCTCAAGAAGTGATTTCATAGTCTGGGAAGCTTTTTTTTTCCTCTTAGGCCAAGTATTTTAAGGTATCTGTTTCACAATATGTGGCTTGTGCAAGTCTGATTTTCTTGACAAACTTTGTCTGAATTTTTAAAAAGCAGTAAAAATGTAACACAGTGTTCCACAACTTCTATGGCAATCAGCTGGTGGGTGGAGAAGGAAGACCTAAATTATCATCCCTGTGTGGGGGCAGAGGGGAAAGGCAGAAAGTACTTAGAGCTGTGCGTGGCTGGCCTATCTCATGTTGTCCCACGTAGGAAGAGGGCGGGATCTTAAGTGATTGGAGAGCAACAACTACTGCAGTAAGGGAGACAGAGGGAAAAGGGGACAGAAATCCAAAGGAACTTAGGCATTATAAATTGTCCTTTATGGGAAAATGGAGAATATGAAAGGACTTCTTATGGAGCCTATTGAAGTGTTAAGGTTTATTGGCACTTTTGGAAACATTGGACTCTTCCAGGGATATTACATGCAGTGAGAGCAGAAAAATAATAGTTGCCTCTGAATTTTGCTGTTTCTCTAAGTATTTCCTTGAGCTGTTGCTCTCTCTCTTGGTTTTTAGTGGGACTTTTTAAAAATAAAACTGAAAGAACTAGATATCTAAGGCAGTAGACTTTTTTTCTTTTCACCAAGAAGGTAACTTTATAATTTTAATAGCTGTAAATCCAAGCACCCATGTGAAAAATGAATATGAACATACTGTGCTATGTTCAGCGTACAAAAAAGTTCTGAAGGAAATACGATGTTTGCTGCACGATCAGGAGGAGTTGGTCTTTTTGATTTCGTTTATCCAGTTTAAGTGCTAGAATTCTGCTTTTTTGTCATAAAACAAAGTAATTAAAGCAAGGTCAAAACATGTTGTTTATTACACTTAGCAAATATTTGTTTGTTTAGTCCTACTGGTAAAGCACATACTGAGTTGTTATCAATTTGTTTACTAACTGTGGAATGAGGGTGAAAGTCCTTATTTTATAAAATTCCCAGCAGGTGAGTACTGATTGTTTTACAGGCAATTATACATAAACACATTTAACACAGACTGCTAATTACTACTTTCACTGAGTGTCAGGGCTGAAGCAGTAGACCTGACAGGGGATGGGAACAAAAGGGCAAGACATTGTAAGATAGAGGATAGATTTGGAACTTTAATTGATAATCATGTTCATAATTAACTTCATTTCTAAAGTACTTAAAGAAATTAAACTTTGTATGCTAACTAACTGTATGAGTATCTTCTGGGACTCTTAAAGGGGAACACATTTTCTCTTTTTACGTATTTTAAAGAAGGTTTAGTTTATGATCAAAAGAGCCAGTTTGATATCATTGTTATTTACAGAGGCATGAACTTCTGATACTGGTAATTCTGCTTTTCTTTAATGAAAAATTGAAAGATTGAGCTACAGATCATCTTAGAATCATGTCTGAAGTGATCCTTCATAGTACAGCTTGAACTGAAAAACACTGCCTCCATTGTCTTTAAAAATTATATAGAGACATTGGTGATACAGGTCTATTTGACTACAATAAAATATAGCATTGGAGATCTCCTTGATTAAGGTGCTTTTAAAGTAACTGTCCTGCTTTCAGGAGGAATGTTTGAGTATGTCAGTGGAGCCAACTTCTTTGGAGAGATTCTGGAATGGTTTGGGTTTGCCCTTGCCTGCTGGACCATTGAAAGCCTTGCATTTGCATTGTGTACACTTTTCATCTTGGGTTCAAGGGCAAAGCAACACCACCAGTAAGTGTTTGTGTTTTTTCTTTTGTCTTTATGCCACACTTCGTTTCCATTTCACAAATTATGCCTCATCCCATAGGAATGTTGCAGGGCAAGTCATGTGAAAGACTCTGCTACTGAAGTGGAGAATATGATAGAAAATGAGTAGTATTAAGCACTGCAGAATTTCAGTGGGACAGTACTGAGCATAAACACACACAGTGTACAGTGAGGTGGTCAAAATAATGTTTAAATGAACATAGCTCATACTGGATCTGTAAAGATTATAGACAAGTTTGGGAAAATTGTCTTAACTGATCATATACCATACTTCCCCTAGGGGCTCAAACTTGTTTCTATAATAAGATTTTGAAAACCACTCTACAGTTGTCTGTAACAGGCACACTATCAAGTGTCAAGTGTCAAGTCTATATCGTCTATAATAAAGTGTATAGACAATATGAAAACAGTTCTGGTAGATGATATTTAATAGTCTCTGGCCTTGTAATTAAACAGACTGCTACTGTACTGTATACATAATGTGGCTTAAAGAAGAATCTGTTTGAGAAGACTTGTTTCTTCAAAGGATTCTCTTTAAGGAATAGCATGGTTTTTAGCTTCCTGCTTTGTTTCTCATGCTGAAACTTAGTGGCGTAAGAGGAAATTTATGGAGGAAATAGGTTGAAAAAAATGCCATTACTAACAGTCTGTCAGGGCAGCCATGCCTATGTCTAGTGGAGTCTTGAAAACCTCCAGGAACAGAGGTTTTCCTGCACCTTCTTTGTAGAGTGTTCCAGGTCTGTGTTACCTTCCCAGTGAACAAGTTTTTCCTACTATTCAACTTGAACCTTCCAAGCCTGTCACATGTGACTAATCCCTCCTTGTTTTACCACCTGCTATTACTGAGCAGAGTTGCAGAATATCTTAGGTTGGTAGGAGCATCTGAAGGTTGTCCAGCCCAGTCATCTGATGTGACCTGCTCCAACCAGAACTGACTGCAAGGCCATAGCCAGTTCCCCAGGGCCTCATCCAGTTGAGTGTCTCCAAGGGTGGAGGATACAGGACATCTCTGGCAAAGCATTGTAACAGGATTTTTCTCATTTTCATGGGGAAGAGGGTGATTTTTCCCTTGCATCCTGTGGGGATTTTCCATGTTGCAGCTTTTATCTCTGGATTTGCAAGTCCCCTTACTGCCTGCCTCCAGGAAGGGTATGGCTCTGTTCTCTCTAATATTTCTCTAGGTAGTGGGAAACTGCAATTAGATCTGCCTCAACTTCTTTTCCAGGCTGAACAAGCCTCAACCTCTTCCCTTATGTTCCAGCTATGCAGTCGTCTCAATGACTGTCTGCTGGATTCTTCTCCAGTTTGTGGACATCTTTACTGCACTGGAAGCTGCAAACTGTAGCCACTAATGCAGGTGCAGGCTCTCAGCTGCTGGATAGTGGAGAATAAGCACTTCCCTTGACTTGGTGGCTCTATACGTGTTAAAGCAGGCCAGTATGCAGTTAGCCTTTATCATTGCAGGGATCTATTACTCATGTTCAACTTGTCCACCAGGATGTTTATGTCCTTTTGTGCAGAGATGGTATCTAGCCAGTCAGTCTCTGGCCTGCACTTTTGCATGGGGCCACTGAATTCCAGCTGCAGGAGTTTGCATTTCATTCATAGTTTTGCTCCATTGTCTTAACTCCCAGGACCTGTAGGCAGCAAGAACAGGGCCCCTTAATCTCTTCCTCACCAGACTATGCAATGCTACGTTCCTCAGCCTATCCTTATATATTATGTTCTTCAGGCTCAAATTTCATGATTGTTTTCCATCTGTCTTAAGCCTTGACAGCACTCTGTCAGAGCTGCTGACTTACAGAGCACTAAGAAAAGCTAAATGTTATTAAAGGAAGAGGGAAAAATGCATACAAATGGAAGAGGGGTAGAGAAGTAAATCTATGTAAGTGAAGAAATATTTTGGTGTAGTCTGTTTAGATTGAAGAACTTAGAATACATGACTGAAAAGGATAACTAGTGTAATGGTGGTATTCCACAGCTGCAGGTTATCATGAATTGTGTGTTCTCTGCTCTTTCCAGCTTTGATCTTGCAGTTAGCGATTGATATGAATACCTGCACCTTTGAGGAGCCCAGATGAAGTTATTTCTTTTTTTTATTTTTTTTAGAGAAGCTGAAGAATTAGTAATTGAAAGTGGGAGTAACTGTGTTTGTTTATTTAAAGTGACTAGGCAACTAATATTTGGTTAGGCCATGCATTTATTCTCTTAAAATTGTTTGGATTTAAAAATAGTGATGGTCTTTTGAGGGGGATTAGCAGTAAGGCTAGTGCAATGTTTGTCACATTCAGTGTGATTATCCAAATCTTGACTGGAACTGAAGATGTATCTCTGCAGAACAGGACAGTCATTCCAGTATGTGAAGTATCCCTTGCTTCCAGGTGAACTCATAATACAATGTTATTTCCTTGAATGCTTTTGATTCTGTTCCTCTCTCTCTAATATCATTGCTTGTTTTCTTCCTTTTTCTAATGTAGCAACATACATTTTGCAATAACAGGGCTGCTCTCACCACATGTTGCCTTGATCCTGTGTGATCTGATCTAGGTGTCCTGCTCCAGCAGGGGGATTGGACTGGATGATCTTTCGAGGTCCCTTCCAATCTCTAACATTCTGTGATTCTGTGATTTCCAATTGCTGGCAGTAGTGACTTTGTTTTGTTGTAGTTGGTGACTAGATGCCATTAGGATGAGTGTTGTAAATGGCAGTTGTCTATCCAGAATGGATTCTAAAGGCATTTTTCTGGTTTGTAGACAGAAAATATATGGATTAAATTGAACATCTTGTACAATTACTTAATTTCCTCGACAGTATTTTGAAGACTCAATAGTCATTAGATTTCTGTCTTTTGTTTTTCAGATGGTACCTTGAGAAATTCGAAGACTACCCAAAAAATAGAAAAATTGTGATCCCATTTGTGTACTGAGCTGTGCTTATTATGACAGTGTTTTTGAAACAGATGCTTTTGGTAACAGCTAGCACTTTACAGGTGTTGTCAGGTTAACATGCTCTGATCATCACTGTGACAAAGCCTTGCATCAGTGCTGCTATTTGTCACTGCTTTTCCTCTTAATGAAAATGCAAAACCTGATGGACGTGGTGAATAGGAACAGAAATGGTTTTTCAACAGTGGATTATCATCATAAATACATTAGGCAATGCATCTGAATTCACATCATGGAAAGCACTGTACAGGACTTCTGATGCTTCCTTTTCTGCCTGTGCAGGCTTCTGCTGTTTCCACTCAAGCCACGCTGTCCTGATGATTGTGCCATGAGCCCAGTCATCCTCACTGCAATGTGGATGCTGTGTTCTGCCTGTTATTTGCTTGCATACAGAAATGGGGTTGACTTCTTTCCTTGCCTTCCTGATCCTTTCCCTCCCCAGCCCTGTGTTTCCAGGAGAACTGATGATGGAGACCAAGGACATTAAATGAATGTAGTTCCTGTTAGGTGAGAGAGTGTTCTTCCTCCTCTTTGCACTCTGCACAGGTACAGACACTGTATAGGTAATATTTAATGCTATTCTCATCATCATCATTCCAAAATAATAGACTGTCATCTACCTCTCAGATTGGATAACTATCTCATTATTCGATATGTGTTTTTTTCAGTCAACACTATTTTTAATTATTAACAATTGTGTAATGTTTTCTAACTTCATAAAGAAACCTTAAGGTTTTTACAAAATTCTCTTGCTATACTGTTTAAGAAAAACAGATGTCTCCCTTCTGTTGATAATGGTCTAGATGATTTTATATTCTAAAAATCTGGAATCTTGTAGTGCTGCTTGTTTTATTAATGTCAGTACTCATACCCCTACATTTCTTTCTCCTGAAGGATTTAAAAAACATGATGGGATCCCAAACCTACTGACTTTAAAGGTTCAGGTACACCTGTGTCCTTTGCAGGCTTGTGATATTAAAGAATTTTTTAGAATTGCTGAAAAAAAAGGTAAAGTCTATAGAAAACTTAAAAAACCAAGCTAACCAAACTCAAACAAAACCCAAACCAACAATCAAATAATTTAAAAAAGCAACAATCAAAACCCAAAAACTCTGCTGCTAATATAATTTGGAAATCAATGGAAATCAAAGTTTTGCCAAGTGTCTTCTGATCCGCTAACACTGTGTATGTTGGGTTATGTTCTTCAAAACAACCTGGTAACATAATTTTGCCAGGTGCTGAGTTTTCCAGTATGGTATTGCAGTAAGCTTTGTCTAAAGCTCAAAATTCTGTCTTTGCTCTTGAGTTACACTGCTGTAGTAATCAAAGTAACATATCTGAACTTTACCTTTGAAATTTTAGATATTAGTTTAAAAATATTACCTTCAGGAAATGGGCAGTGAAAAAGGACTTTGACCCAAGCTTCTGCTTGACAGTTGTTTCTTCCTTCTTTTCCTTCCTGCCATGTTTTTATAGTACTTACTGTACTGAAGTCTTGGCTATCACTAAGGATTTATTCAGTGGTGTAAATAAGTGTAACAAATTCTACTGTTATTGACTTGAAACAGTCAAAGGAAGGAGGGGAGAGAAACCATCAGTCCTGCAGTGATGGTAACTTACAGCTAAGCCCTTAGACTGCCAGTTGCTCCTCATAATGTTGACTGGGATGACCAGTCCTGCTCTCAGCCAATATCCAAAAAGTCCTGCTTTGGGATAACATAGGAATACCTGTCCCTTTGACTCCAGTGTCATTTGATTCTTAAATTGTTTAATAATTTCTTTAGTTTTTACATCTTTACTTAGTGTTTCACAGGAAGTTTGAAGCTTCCCCTGTTGTTTTTGTTACCACACTATAACTTGACATTTGATCATAGTTGTTTTGATGAACACTTAGTCATGAAGTTCCCTGGGAGAGGATGGTGGGGAGGATGATCGGCTAAAGGTGGAGTTAGTGGACAATAAAAGTTTAACAGGATGACTTAAAGTATATTTTGAAGAGAATTCTGGAAACTTTGTCTTGATCTATCAAGATATTTCTATACCCTATCACATCCCTGGGACAGTTTTTAAAATATTGGTATCTAAATTATCCAGCTATCAAAATCTGATTCAGGAGGGATTCAAAGAGCACTGTCTACTCTAGGTGGTTAAATACTTGCATAGTTTATAGTGAATTAAGGTCTTGTATCTTTAGGGATATTTGCTAAAAAATCACTAATGGGACAAACAACCAGTAAAAAAGATCTGGATGCAGGACTTTAGCCTCTAATCTACCACCTCCTTTTTTTTTTTTTGGCCTTTTGTGAAAAGGCAAAGATTCTTTTAATAGTAAACAGTGAGAGAAACTGCTGAGCATTCAGTATGTCTCCGTATATTCAAGAACTGTAGCGCTCTGTAGTCGGTAGTCTTTATCATAGTTTAAAGAAAATTTGTACTGATGTCTCAGTTGTGCTCTGGTGCTATGCTAGTGAATATTTATCTTGACTAAAGTTCAGCTGGTTTGCTCACATAATGTTAATTTATGGTTTACCTATAGCAGGATGGGGATCTGAAATGTGATGCTCTGATAGCTTATCTGTGTTTTTTCTTTTGTTACAGAAAAGGAAGAGCTAAGGTCTATGGGATGTGAATGTCAGTGCGTTTAAAAATACTAGTTAATTGAATTATAAAAAGAAAAACAGAAGAAGGTTTTGTTCTTTGGGTGTTTATATTTTGTACTTCATTATACTGCCAGAACAGTCCTTAAGTAAAGCACAGAATTTGTCTGAGGCAGTTCACTAGAGAACAAATCTTATGAGGTGTGGCTGAGGGAGCTGGGCTTGTTTAGTCTGGAGAAAAGGAGGCTGAAAGGAGACTGTATCACTCTCCACAACTACCTGAAAGGAGGTTGTAGTGAGATGGGTGTTCTTGCTTGGGAGAAGAGATCAAGTGATAGGATGAGGAAATGGCCTCAAGTTGTGCCAGGGGAGGTTTAGATTGTATACTAGGAAAAATTTCTTCACCTAAAGGGTTGTCAAATACTGGAACAGGCTGCCCAGGGAAGTGGTTGAGTCACCATCCCTGGAGGTATTTAAAAGATGTGTAGATGTGGTGCTTAGGGACATGGTTTAGTGGTGGACTTGGCAGTGCTAAATTAACAGTTAGGCTAGATCTTAAAGGTCTTTTCCAACCTAAATGATTCTGATTCTTGCGTTTCAAGGCCAAGGTACATTGGTAAAAAGCATATCATCAACTTGGTCAAATGGTAGAACTGCCTTTTGTTTAAACAATATCCCATCTATTTGTCATATTTCACTCATGCTCATTTCCCCTTTTAGCAGCTCTGATAGAATTTTTTTGAAAATATGTGGTGTGAAAATGAACTCTGTTCTGCCCATTCTAGAAGGAGAAAACATGTATGCTTAATATTGTGTATAATATCTGTAGCAATTTTTAACAGAGTCACTTCTATTCAGAGTGCCTACATCTTTCCCCAAAATCTCTTGCTAATAAAATATGGTTTGTGGTGTCTTGCTTGAATATATCTTTTTTCTTAGTAATCCTTGCTACAACTTGTGGAGGTTGACCAAGGCATTTGTACCTGCAATTTAATTATCCCAAATGTGGTCTTGAGGACTGTAATTAGTAAGGTTGTATTAGAGTAACCTAGATGCACATGTGAACTGTGGTGGCTCTATTGGAATGGGAGAACTGACTTGAAAGTCTCCAATAGTATTTTGAAAGTGTTCAAGTGGTAGAGTCATTAATATATATTAACATAGTAACCAAAGATAAAAATAGTCTTTAGGATGCTTCAGATAATCCTTGCAAATTTTACTAGGCCTTGGAACTGAAGGCTAATAGACTAAGTTAAATATTTAGCATAAAACAAAACAGTATGTGATCACTACTGGTAGAATGAAGTAATACTAGGGAAAGTAGTTCACAAAATATAAATATCTATGCAGACAGCGTACAGCAGCTTAGTCTTATGAATAGAAAACTAAATGACCAAGAAATATCATCTCTGAAAGAAAAATGAGCTGGGATATTTTCATGAGCAAAAAGAACTAGTTTGAACAGAATATAATTTTTATTAATTTTAAATTGAGATAAGGTAATATATTTGATTATGTAGACTCTGATAATTTCTTACTAGACATTAAAATAGTAAAGGAAAAAATCTGTTGCTATGCATGGAACCTGTGTTCAGCTGGAGGTTCTCATCTGAAGACACTCAAAACCCTCCTTGAAACATGATCTCTAGGTGCAGATAAATTAGGTAAGGTTTTTCTGCATTAATAGTTTAATTCCCACTAAGTGTTCCCTAGGAAGTATGTCCTGTATTCCTGGACATCATTTTTTTAGATCCATGACAGAGTGGTAAGAAGGAGGGTGTCATGGAGCATGTGGCAACAGCCTTTCTTATCCAAGGTGTGCTTGTTGAACTGAGCACAGCTTTCTCATTGCTTTTGAGTGTGTTCTCAGCAATGTCTCCAAGAAAATACACTTAAATCTCTCAGAGCTGTTTCTGAGAAGGGACACCACTTGGCCTGCTGAGGTGGAAGACCTCTAGCACAGCTCTAAGAGGTCTGTTTGTACTGTAAGAGTGAGCAAGATGGAAGCACCTGGGACTCAGCACACCTACTCACCCCAAAAATCTCACCAGACAAAGAAAATAACATTTGTGAAACTGAAGTTATCTTGTTAACTAGGCAAGTCCACTGAGGTAGGTTTGTATGTACATTATTTTGGTTTTAACTCACTCATTTTAAAAGTTCACCTTTTTTTTTAAATGATCAGTCCACTTTCTAATAAAACCAGATATAAAAAAGTCAAGTACAAAATTTCTGTACCCATGATATGTGATTTCTCTCAGTTCTCAGCTTGTTACTTCCTTTGCTCACTGAGGTCTGGTGTCCATATTAGATGCCATGTGGCTATTGCTGGAGTTTCTTCCTCTGCTTTCTTTCCTTTGTAAATTAGTCCCTGCAGCTCCCTG